CCCTCCTTGTGACGTCAGCACCCCTCCTTGTGACATCGGCACCCTCCTTGTGACGTCAGCAGTCCCATCCAGGCCACAGTGGACAAAGAGACAGGTTATGACTATTCAGTTCTTGAGGCTATTCAGAACTTACCTATTTTCCCTTAATTTACAAAAGAGGAAACTGAGTACCCCAAAAGGTCAAAAGATTCACAAAGGGTGGCAGAGCAGACAGTGAACAGCAGAGTGAGGACTGGGGTTTCCGAGGTTCCTGTCCTGCACCCCACTGCCCCTGCTGTAGGGATTTCAGTTTCCTGCAGAGCAAAGCTACACCCACCGGACAGAGGGCTTTGCAGGGCGCTGGCTGCAGGCACTGGCTAGTCCAGATTCCTCCTCTTCCTTCCCTGCTAGCTACCCAGGGGTGCGGGTGTGGGTGGGGGCCAGCGCACCTCTTCCCCGAGCCCCCTGCTCCTTAGACAGCTGTCTCTGGTGGGGCCTAAGACGGGGACACTCCTGCTCCGGTGTCCTACAGTCTATCCTCTCATGCACTGGCCCGTGGGAGCAGAGCACAAGGCAGAGGTAACCCCAATATGCAGGAGGGTGTCTGAGGGAGGGCAACAGAACACACTCTCAGGTGGCGACACTCAGCACCATCCCGTGGAGAGACATGTGGGAACCAGCAGGCCCCGTCTCATCTACCTGCACGATATTCAACGCAAGAAACAGACCCAGAAGTCTGTGACCCCCCACGACACACCCACCTACCCCAGGAGGGCTGGGACTCCCCCCTGCACCACGGAGCCTGACGGGCTACGGCTCTGCAGGACAGGGCACTGACCCCACGGATGGACATGTGTCTCGCCCTCTCCTTTTCCTTCCTAGCGCCCTGCGAAGTGGGGGAACGTACGAGAATTATTTACGATGACCCAGGCGAGAGGCAGGCTGATTCCTGGGTGACCACACGCAGTCCACAGCTCCCTGCACACACAGGGGTCTTCACACCCAGACGGCGCAGCCCCTAACCTACCAGCTGGGCGCTGTCAGGCTACCCTCGCTTCCCCCTGAGTTTCACAGAGTCTGGAGACAACCTAGAAGTCCCCCGTAAACTCCTGGAGGGCAGTCACGACCGGCCTTCCTGGTGCAGCTCTGACGTGCACGCTCAGGCGAGGGCAGGGCCTGGCCAGGCCACCTTGCAGCACAGAAGCACAGAGGCCCGAGCACACACCCACAGTCGGAAGCCCCGCTGCTCAGTGACTCACTCCGTGGCGTGCTCATCACTCTCACATCTGAGCCCCAGAGCTGCCAAGTCCTGTAGCGCACGCCTGAGGTGGGAGGGTCTCCTAGCCAGGCCCGTGTGGGGCAGCTGGGCCAGGGCAGGCGCGGGGCCGGGGGCAGTGCGGGGGGAGCTGTGGGCACCAGGGGCCCCGGGCAGGTGACAGCTCCCCACAGCCGCCGCTGCCCCGGCTCAGCGGGGTGACGGATCTCCATGCGGCTACCTTAATCCTCCTTGCTGGCGCAGAAAGCCAGGCCTGGCCGGCCCGACCTCCTCCCTGCCCCCCCTGTCTGTGGTGTTGTCCCAACGGGTGGCAAGTGCTCCTTCCCTTCCCCACCCCGCCCAGAGGTGACGTAGGACAGCTCTCCCTGCCAACACGGGAACCCGCCCGTTGGGCGCTGGGACCGGAGCCCTGCGCCTTCCTTTCCCAGACTCCCCAGGTGTTCCTGCGACCGGGAGCCCCCCCCACCCCCCGCCCAGAAATAAGACACCTGGGTGCAGACTGTTCTGCCCCATGCTCCTACACTGACGTGGAAACATCTCCAGGCTCCTGAATTTCAGGGGGAAAATGCTTGATCAAACTTTAAAAATGAAAAGCCAGCTCCGAGTTGTTCTCAGGCTCATCTTCAAAGCAAACCGGCCTGTGGTTGCAGGGTCTGGGGCCTGCCTTCAGCCAGGCCACAAGGAGGAGCCCAGGGAATCACAGTCACTCAGCCGGGGGTGGGGCTGGGGGTGCTGGGAGGCAGCACAGCCAGCTGGAGCCTGGCGGCCCGTTTCCAACCTCTCCACCCCTCTGCTGAAAGGAGGGGCATCCACCGTGCCCCCGGCCAGCACGTCCACCCACACTGTGCCTGCTTCCAGGCCGGGCCTCAGGCAGATGCTCTCCGAACTGACACACGCCCACGGTCCCTCACCCCACAGCCAGGCGGCCTGGGGAGCAGTGCAGGGGGCGCGAGACAGGAAACCCTGATGGCGGCTCGCGGGTCTCACTGTCCACCCAAAGCCTCAGAACCTTTGCTCAAAAAAACCAAAGCAGTTATCTCATCCTCCAGCAGCGATGTCCTCGGAACCCGCTGACCAGTCGGGGCCGGCTGCCCCCGCGCTGACCGGCACAGGCGGCTGCAGAAGCGGCTGTCGGGGCGTTTGGACACCCCAGCACCTGCAGCCAAGAGAGGAGCCGCTCCTGCAGCTGCAGACACAGAACTGAGGGGCCTGCGTCAAGCCACAACGCTGTGAGGTCTGGATTCAAACCCAGCATGCGCTCCAGCTTTCTCCAGCGTCCAGTGTGCAAGGCCCGGCACGGCCTGGCTGCGGACGCAGGAGGACCAGCCCTCGCCGACCGCTGAGCTGTGCATGTGGAGCCATGAGGAGGCCCCATGCCGAGGGCCCGAGGCTGGCACGCGTTTCTCCCGTGTTTCCCCTTGCGAGGGGCTGTGACGAGCTGCCATTGGTGTCAACTCCTGTTCTTGGGGAAGAAACAGGAACAAAGGGCTTCCCGGGGCCACGGGAGGCTGAGCGCTGGCCGCCAGGAGCCAGAGGTCGGCTGCATTTCTGTCTGGCGTCTGGTTCGCGCTCTGGCCTGGCTGGTTGTGTGATCGGGACTCAGGCCTCAGCCTATGCTGAAGGCCCGCAGGGCGGGGTCGCAGGGCCAGCGGTGGGCTCAGGGGCCCCTGCCTGCTCTTCGGCCTGTCCCAAGGCCAAAGGAGGGTCAGTTTCTTTCAGGAAGCTTTTCCAACTATCTGGTCCCCATGAGTGTGTCCATAAACTGCAACAACAGCCACCACAGGAGCCTTGTGATGTCTTGGGGTGCAGCGTGCTCACCTTGGGGTGCAGCACTCCCTTCAGCCTGCCTGCGAAGCTCCTCATCTACCAGGGTCACCAGTTTGGACTCCCCAACTTGGGGGACTCTGCCTCAGCTGACCCCGCATTCCACTCTTCGGGGCGCTTTCCCAGACTTTGTGGGACCTGGCACAGCCACAGGAGAAAGTCACTGGAGACCCCCAGAGAAAAGCCCAGCCGCCCAGAGAAGCATGGAGAGGGCGACAGGGACGGTGCAGTGTGGGGGACCATAAGAAGCTGTTGTTCCCCATGCGAGGCGTGGGGGGGGGGGGGCGGGCGGGCTCCAGCCCCTGGGCCCAATTTGAGCTCCAGGGAAAGAGAAAGAAACTGCAGGGACAGGAACTGGGAGGCAGCAGCAGCGGCATTTACATGTGAAGGCAGCTCCTGCTGGTCTGTGGCTTTAGGCCAAAGAAGGTGGAATGTGAAATGCTGTGGCCTTTCGTGTCCCATGAACCCCCAAACACTTGCGGTGTCACCCACAACTGCTAGGCCACAGCCATGCAATGGAGGAGGAGGGGGTTCCCGAGCAAAGGGTCTCGCACAGACGTGCAGAGAAGCACCCCCAAACACTTCGAATTTTAGTTCACAGAAATCTGAAGGATACGCTCTGGAAAACAATAAGAAAGAGTGTCCTGGACACCCAGCCCCGTGACCGCCCCGTTCTTCGGGCGTGAAGAAGCGCCTCGCCTGACCTTAGACTCGGTTCTCTCATCCTCGGATTCTGCATCTGCAGGACAAGAATACAGCACGGGAAACCCAGCAGTAGCACGATAATGGGCACCTAAGAGTTGTCCATGTGTCCTGAATGTTAATGAACTGACTGGGACCCCCGGTCTGGCTGGGGCCTGGCGGGGGTCTGGCAGGCATCTCACCAGCTTCAGTGTCCACCAGGGCAGCTCCAAATTCTGTGAGTTTTCCCACTGCAAAGTGCGCTGGTATTCAGGCCAGGAAGAATACTGGGGTCACTGGAGTCAGCTCTCTATTCTGTTTCCCAAGGAGGAACTGCCCCCCTGGCTTCAGTTTCTCCTAAGGATTAAGTGAAATAATACATCTCACAGCGCCTGGCCAAGCAAGGGTTCGTCATGGTGGCATCAGGAGCTTGCAGGGCTGGGGGTGACAGGGAGGCCAGTGAGCCTCGCGGTCTGCACTGCTGGGCCCAGCCCGGCCCACTCCGGAGATGCAGAGTCAGGGAGGCATCAGCCTGCAGAGACCTCCTGAGGGGTGGCGCTGTTCTGGCTCC